TAAAATGTAGGGACAAAGATATTTTGATTTTAATATAGACGGAATTTAATCGAATGAATATGTTATTTTAAATTTTTTGTGAATAATAAATTATTTGGTAGTTAAAAACTATGTAGGTTGGTTGTGTTCAATTATTTTTGAAAAACTTGAATATATAGAAAAATGTCATCACGTAATCAATAATCATACAACTTTTAAGTAACTAACATAATTTATAACTGTCTACTAAGTCGGTTGTCACCCATTTCCTTGACCTAAATTATTCTTTATTCTTATAAGGTGATTTAATAAAATATCTAAGTATATAGGTATACAATTTAGTCAGTAAACTTGATACTATTTCAATTGATTATTTTCAGTAACTTATATAATAGAAGGAGTTTTAATCACTCAAATTATTCACAAAATAACTTATTAAATTAGTTTATTTATTTAATGGTAAAACATAAAAATCAATTAAATCAAACTAATAATTTAGAAATATTCAGCGTTGTAGATAAATATTTCATATACTATTTTTGAAATAATTATTTCTTTAATCTTTTCTATAAGCAGAATGACTAATAGAATACGCTTAGAAATAGCAATCGATTAAATACAATTTATTTTTATTTTTACAGGAAATATACAAAATCAAAAATTGAGAAATTATATAAGACAATGCCACGAGGGTTATTTGAACGACAACCCCAAGCATTGTGTTTAGAATTAAAGTTGCTGCCTATGATAAAATTATTTTTAATTATATTGAAGTACTCTACAAATGTAGCAATCGAGATAATGTGTCGTGGAGAAGAATAAACAGCATCTACGGTAATAGGTATATTATTTATTTTAATTATTATAATACACGATTGAATATGATCGGAACATTAATTAGTTAATGTTTGAAAGTAGATTGAGTTTTTAATAAATATTGAGAAATATATGTATATAATAGAAATATCAGTATAATAATTAATAAACCATATTATTATATAAAAAATATTACTTATATAAAATATTATATCATAACAAATATAAAGTATTTAAAAATGGTATTCATTGATTAAAAATATTATACTTATGAATGGTGCACTTTTTAAAATTTTTTTTAATACGCTTGACCATGAAATTGTATTATGAAATAAAATATTATGGTAGATACCATCAAATATTTAACTGTTGAATGAAAGTGGCGATTTGAAAACAAACGATAAGACACTATAAGAACTTGTCCCAAATATAGCCTTGTAATAATATTAACATCGACAGTTTAATGTAAATCATATGAAAAAATATATGTTTTTGTAATATACGTAACTAAAAATTATTTAGTTATTTTTATGGGATTTAAAATGTTGTGGTTATACTAAATAAAAAAGAACTGTTACGACAAAACAAGTAGTAATAAACAACTCATACTAGAAATTAAATAATATTTTAAATTCAAATTTGAATGACCTTGCACAACAATTTATTTTAATATTTATTTTAATTTAAAGAAAATATTTAAAATAATATACGATAATTAAAAAATAAAACAACGATAGAAGTAATAAATAAAATAATTTAATTCAAGATATAATTGTATTATGTTTTTAAAAGTATTGAAATATTATATCATATTAGTTAATTGTCCTAATTGTTAGACATATCTAAGTTTTAACATTCATTTGAAAATAAGTGTTTTAGATAAAAAAAAATTAACATTCTTCATTATATGGCATGTTAGATAGATGAAATTATTTAAAATTAATGCTAAGGATAAGATAATATAAATTATGTTGAATGATATTTATCATTTTTAAAAAATAACTTAAATCTGAAGGCAATTTAATATTAAATGTATGTGCACTAATAAATATTATATTTTCTTTAAGTTAAAAATATATATTATTTTTAATAATTAATCTATAGTTTAATACTATATAACAATAAAATAAAATTAGATTTTTATTGTATTTGTTCTTCAAACAAGACTCCAAAATTACCATAAACTAAATATGTAACGAATCAAACGGTAGATTTTCTTAAACAAGTGTAATACATTTTAACCAATTTTTTAACATATTATATTAATTATATATTATAATTTATAATTACAATTTAATAGTATACACATAGAAGAATATCTTGTACTATTTTATTATCTTGTTTTATGATTAAAATATTATAATAATATTAATTTATTGTATAAATATCGTATCCTAGATTAATATAAAAATAATATTTAAAAAATATAAATAAAACATATTTAATTTAATTTTGAAACAACCACTTACCTAATAAACATAAGTACAATATAAAATAACAAACTAACCTTGCAATCATAAGTGTTCTAAACTTGATTATACACCATGATTGGGTAGTATTTAACAAACATTAATTTAACACAAACGAAAAAATTAAAATATAGGGTGTCTCAAAAAGAATGCAAGATTTAAATCTGGTATAAATTAAATTTATTCTTTTAAAAAAAAAACAACAAATATATCATTCTCTTCAGAAGAAGTTAAGGTTTAACAGTGAAAAATAATATTGGACATATGACTCTCCCTACTAGCTCTACAAGCGATTATTCCTTCCATAAAATTTACCATCACTCGATCACACATTATCCCATCAATTTCATTGAGAACACGTCGAATTTCTTGCTTAAGTTCAAAGATATTTTGAACTTTGTTCTGGTAAACTCATGATTTAATGTATCCCTATGAGAAAAAAATCATACGGCATTAAGTCGCAATATTGAGGTGGGTAGGTTTGGCCACGCAACAAGATTAGTCTGTCCGGGAACTTCTCACGCAGCGGTGTTTGTTTCTCTTGAAGTGTGACAAGTTGAAACCAAACATTTTTTATGTTCATTTGGTCAATATATATATTTTTTATGTTTTTTTAAAAGAAATAAATTTAATTTATACCAGATTTAAATCCCACGTTCTTTTTGAAATACTTTATATAACAAATACCATAGTGTGTATAGTATGTATACTATATAGTATATATAATAGTATGAATATAATATTATAGTATTTAAGTATGCAGTTATGAAATGTGTCAATAAATATAATGTAATGCATCATAAGTATTTTGATCAGATATAATAATGCTTAAGCGACATATCAGTATAACTATATGTTATTGAACAATCACACATTAAAATATGATGTTAGAATGTACTGGTTATTGCAACTGTGGAATCAGTTTATTGGAATTACGTGTCAATTAAACAAACGACGGTTACAAAATGAGTCAACAAAATGAATCATAGCTAACGAAATGTTTTATTCAGATATTTATTTTAAAGTTTAACCCTGTAGTTGAATTTTATTCCGGTACAAAATAGTTCAAATATACAATCATTAAGATTTGAAAATTGATCAGGGAAAAATGTTTTCAAATGTTTTTTTTTTTTTTTTTAAGAAAACATGAAATGATTAACATAATCATTAAAAATATAAGAATCATATCCAATGAAAAAAAAAACTTCACGACACTATCGACTATTATTGAAAAATATTCGTTTATATTCTTTAGTCAATACTTATTATTATTGTCCGTCTACAGAGCAACAAATAAATGTCCTAGTTTGATAAAAGAAAAGTATGTGATGTATTATATAGATTTATATATGTGTATAGAAGTACTACGGTGAATATTTTCGTTAAATCAGTTGTTCAAGTATCCTTGAACTGATATGCATGCAAAAACCAGTGATGTAATAATTGAAAATCCGAGCAATTAAAGGAGTTTTCTCTTGTCTATAACACTCATGACCGAAGTGATGGGAGGGAGTAAACCGTTCCTCTGTTGTTGAACGAAAATAACGAAGGTTTTGGTTGAATCATTTGTATTTTTAAATATACGATTACATGCATGGGGCTAACCGAATTTACTTGCAATTTTTTTCGATCCCCTTACGTCACATATTTAGGTGTACCTATAAATAAAGACACAATGCTGGCGTAGAACTGAAACTTAAGAACCACGAATTTTTCATAGAATATCTTAATATTTTCTAACGCCATTGTCATAATTTTTACCATTTTAATGTTTGTCAACCGAATAATGAAACTATGTATATAGCGTAATGGTAATAATATTGACGAATTAAATTAAATTGTCCTCTCAACACATTACCTATAAATAAAAATACACATTATAACAAAAAACAAATTTTTCTTTTGGAGGCTAATGCATATTTTGTAATTTGCGTCTAGAAAATATGCATTGTTTAAGAAAAGTATTATGATTTTTCTTAGAAAATTAATTTGTTTTTGAAAATGTGTGGTTGTACCTAGTACTGATCATATTCAAGGTGATTATTCGTGGTTGAACCTATTCAATAAGGGTTTATCGATTTACGAGATTGTCTGATGAGATTAATAGATGCTGTAAAAACGAATTGTAGGTACAAATATATTTAAGTAAACGTAATGAAAACCCAAGAAAATAACTTTGATCATTACGCTCATGTAAGTTTCCAATAATGAAATACGATTAATATAATACGAACAATATTTTCGCTAACCGACAAACTAATATTTTTAGGTTTATGAGTTTCATGCAGAACTATGATTTTATAAAACAGTCGGCCGCGTGATAAATATCGAGTCGTGACGTTGCTGAAAGGGATTTTGAAAGTTCTGCACCACGAAATGGACGTAATAAATCGTAATAATTCTAATGAACCTGGCCAGCCGAACTCTGATAAGCGAATACCTCTAAATACTTAACAAACACCGCGACCACGTTGGAAACGTGTGTACACACGAATATGTCGTTGACGTACTACGCGTAATTATTTTTATTTTTACTCGTGATGTAAAAAAACGGCGTCTTGTGTCGCGTGGGTCCTGTTTTCCGGCACAGTTATTACGCGTTAAATATTTGTTTTGTTACATTTATTATTTATACTTTTTGTGCGCTCTACTTAACGGCACAACAACTACACACTGCTCATTAATATTATTATTGCTATTACTGTACAGTCGTCGGTTGTGTCGACACGGACTTACCTTGAGGGCTTTCGAAGTAACCCCATAACGGCAACCCGATGGCCGTGGCGGCTAGCGCGAAACACGCGAACCCTAGGAACGCCACCCCGGACGAGTACAACGCTTTACTCTTGTTTGGATCGGCCATTTTACGCCAAACCACATGGTGTTTCCCGACGCCTCTCCGTCGCCAGCGTCACGTGCAAATCCGCGGTCGACACCAGTGTCATTCAGCAGACGTCCGATCCGCCGGTGCGCCGCGTCTGCAGCTCTCCGTCCGTCCGTTCGCCGTCCGTACCGACCATGTCTGCAAAAAGACGATTCGCACGGTCAACCGCGGTTGTTCGACTTTATGAACGTTACGAACTAACGAACACCGTCCGCGTGATGTGCGTTGCGCAATGTATTTATTGTTATTTTTCGTCTTCGGAGCGCGCACGGCGATCGCGTTGCTTTTAGCGGCTTTCGTTTATCGGAAACACGTAGGTGCGTACGCACAGTCCAATTGAAGGTCGCGCACGAACACTATATCCGTCGTCACGGCGCGTATTATCACTAATAGACAACACCTCCCCCCTCCCCATCCCCTTTCCAGCGCCACCACCATCATCATCTCACCGACGCTATGGAATTCGCTAATTGTAAACACAACGTAATAGATTACGTTTTCAAACGAATTCCTAATCGCCGTACGGTCTCGCCGAGCGTAGTAGTACATCGCAATGCGTATGCACGGCAAGCAGTACGCGGTAAAACGGCCTAAAACTGTCGGTGGTTCGTGCCGCGCGCCGAATGTTCGAACGCGTTCGACGAATACGTTTTTCGAAGCCAGCACCTTTTCGGAAATCGTTGCGCAATTTCTTTCTCGCCCGCGTTCTACGTCGGTTCTACGACGTTCCTCCGTGACGCGCGGCCGAATTTTCGTTTCAGTCGGTTTCCGCGACTCCGGTGCGACGAGATTTATCGCATAAAGGCTCGTTCTCATGAGTCATGTTTAGTTGACCGATTATAGTTGATCAACAAGAATTGAATATAAGTTGATTCAGTTTTTGTTCACGCATTTCAACAGAACATGTTTCAATTTTATTTTGAACTCGGTTGAAAAGCCACGGTCGACACGTAGTTGACACCAACTGTCATGCTTATGATAAAGTTCTAAACGTTTTAGCATCACGCTTTCAGACCACTTGAGGCTCATTTTTAAAATTAAAAATATTTAATACGTTAAAAATTAAAAAAAAATCATAAAATGCACGTGTGACTGCCCACTGATTGAAAACAAACTGAAGTTCAACTTGAATCAACTGTAGTGTAGGTTGTTCTCACGTGTCAAGACGGGTTTCAACTTGAAAGAAATTGAAAAACAACTCATTACTTGAACGATAAAGTTTGACTGGGTCAAAGTTTTTTTGATCAACTAATTAGTTGTTCAATTTTATTGAAACAAAGGTTCTCACTACAGATTTTATTCAATTTTTGTTGATCAACTATAATCGGTCAGCTAAACTTGACCCATGAGAACGCGCCTTTACTCGCGCTTTCGGATTCCGCGGTGCACCCGTGAACGCAACGGCAGGTGCGAACATGACCGCATAATATTCGGACGACCGTAAACGGTCGGTCGTACCCGGTCCGCGGTATCCGGTAAGGTCTGCCCGTGCATGCGGTGCGTACGTACGGTGTACGCGAGGCAAAAGTATACGCGATATTACGTCACGCGATACCGTCCGAACTGGTTTTCACTCTTTTTTTTTTTTTTTATTATTACGAGCATTAACACTGTGCACGTACCCGCGTGTACGCGCATTTTTATACATTATTTTATTCACATTCACCGACCTCCTCCCCCGACCACCGTCCGTCCGTACGTCGAAGCAGACCTCGTCGTCACAGCAAACCAATACACGTCGTATAATAATAATAATAATAATAATAATAGTAATAGTAATATTATAATATGTCTGCAATATCTTTCGCTGAACAACGCGTCGTAGCCGCTGTTGGCGAAACGAAATACCACCGCAAGGTGTACACGTCGATGATGCGATGGCGAACGACCGTAGTACTATTAAAAAATGTTTTGTACGATAATAATAATAATACGTATTCGTCGGTCGTGTCTTCGCGTACAGGTACAGGATGTGTCGCACAGCTGTTGTTCTTTTTTTTATGAACTCCAAATTTACTCAACACACCGTAAACCGCTTATTCTCCGATATCAAATGTTATATACTCTAAGCATATCGTCCGCGCCGAAGATAGACCGAAGCGGAAAGATACCATTTAACAAATGTTTTCGTGTACGCGCATTACGTGCACATTTGTAACACGTGAACACCGTTCAGCTACAAAACCAAAGTCTCGGTCCGTAGGTACAGCGTAATACGTCGTTCTGTGCGTGCGCATACAAAGAAATTTAAAATTAAATCAAGAAAAAAAAAAAACACAAAAGACGCAAGTCGCTAATGAAATAATATGATGGTCGAACGGTTTATTTAATTTTATTTATTATTAGCTGTACGAGACGAACCCGATATAAAAATGAATAGTAATAAAACAAATTACAGAACGAAATGGTTATACGCACACAGATGATATATACAACTAAAATTTATAATTTTTTAGTTATAACAGAAACGGTTAAATTTTACTCTTGGTAGTCAGCAGTATTGTCTGTTGGTAATGAATTCGTCATACTGTCGCGACCGTTTAGCACAGCTGCGAGAAGTGAAAATCGTAATGCACGAATGTATTTATAGCTTTTAAAAACGTACATTTACGAAACTCGAGAATTAAAAAACAATCAACACTTAACTTCAGATTTTTCGCCATAGGTCTTTCATAGTCTCTCGTAATCTAATAATTATAACAGCATCTCATCATTATTGTTTGTCGTTGGCGCCCCGAAATAATTTTTATTACGAATATTATTTCGTTATTTTTAATGTTGTGTTAATGATGATTTTCTAAGATTAGGTTTTTACCAATCCTAATAACATTTTGTCTAATGAGATTTTTAAACCCGTATCGTTTTACCGCAATGCCATAAAATACTACACTGTGTGTACCATTAAAACAATTGAGAGAATATGAAGTAAGGACACCCTGTATAATGATCTTGTTTAAAAAAAAAATGTATATAATAATAAAGAAAATAGGCGTGAGCGACGATGCATTTGGTCTGTGGCCATTGTTGGTGAAAGTATGCTCGTGCTCGTGCGCCATTCATCAAAACAGAATCACAAACGACTAAAAGACTGGGACGAAGACGAAATTTAAACACAAGTTTCGTGTATATTTTTCTTTAGTTAAATGACATAATGTATATATTAAATGGCCCAACAACATCTAGCTATAAAAGGAAATAATTTTTAATTTAACTATATGCATTTTTGGTAGTCAATTAAATAATTTAAAAGCACTAACAAATCTAATCGTCTTGATAAATGTATATTATTATTTTAATATAACCATGGTATAAATTTATAAAAATAAACTATCAGTAAAATGCGCAGGTATCTGATCGTTGAAATTTGCATGTGTTACAAATACTAAGTTCCTGAAATATACACTTAAATTTTAAATTTTATCTGTATAAAATATATTGTTTGAAGAAATATTTAAACTAATAAGTTGATAATTTAATTGTTTATTGTATTATAATTAAATACAAGTGGAAAAACTAGTAAATGTTTGTAAACCTACTAATTATTAATTTTTTAAAACGAAAGCTTGGGATTACGGAGTTTTATGGATTTTAAATCTTTAATTACTTAAAACATCACAAAAGACCATAAATACAACTATAGTTTAATAAATTAAAATACACACACCATATAATACGGAATAATAACTAGGTTTATTATTATAAGTTAATAATATTTACTGAAACATGATTTTAGTGTAGAAAATATTGTCAACTATGCCAGTGATATTAATCTATTGTTCAAATAATAACATGCAATTAAGAATGTTACGTTTCTCGGAACAAATTAATGGTAAGTAATTATTTTAATGATTTTATTTTTAAAGGGGAAATATTGAACAATTGCGAAACATTTTAAGTTTTATTAGTTATTTTATTTCTGATTTCGATTTATTTTAACAATGAAGTACAACTGCGCCTTAGGAAATTTTAATTTGTTTGACTTGAAATGAGAAATATTTTTTTGTTCCTGTTGTTGCGATAAGTATCATAACGGCAATAATAAAACACTACTGTAAAAATGTGACAAAACTGAAACTTTATATTATACACGTACCAACAAAAGTCACAAAATTACGTGAAACTTATTTATGACGTCAACATTATTATCACATTTTCCAGTTCAAAATTCATTTAATATGGCAAATTGTTTAAAAAATACGCGTAGGTATGTTAAATTGCATTTAGTTTTTCGAAGACACTTATTGCTACCGTTTCTCTCTCTGCGCATTACAATATATTATAATGGGCGCAAGCAATTAAGAGCTAAGGTACGTTTTAGTCGTTTAACCCGACGAACGCAATTTATTAACCCCAGCCCACTTACACTGACATTCTTAATTGCCTAGACACCTTTATTAATACAAGTGGTGTTTCGTTATGTAGCGTCAAAGGCTATTAACAGTTAATTATAGCTACTGATAGTTCTGAATCGTTCTTGACCGAATATCTAGTAAATTATTGTCGACTATCTAAAATTACACCAATCATTAAAAGGACAATATTTTTGTAATTTCGTATAATGAATTACGTACGAGTATATTACAATACTCGTATATTTGCATTGGTTATTGTATGGTATATTGACGTGCTGCAAGGAATATATTGTTCTGAATAAAGGATATGTAACTGTAAAATATTTCTTGTTTTTGACGAAATTCGTTTAGAGTAGATGTCTTTCTATTATATTGAGTATCATTAGTGTCGATAATTCATTCATTACTTATTTAACATCAGCTACTTTATGTATTTTGTTTTATTAACCATATCTATCTGCACGTTATATGTAATTTAGAAATTGAAATAAAACTTGATAGCAAAATAGATGTTTTTCGATGATTATTACATTTCATCAATATGTGAAACACTAATAGTATTAATGATAATAAATTGGTTAAAAATAAGGCATACTTACATTTTTAAAATTTAAAAAACTTTCTATAATTATATATTTATTCATTTTAAACTGTAATGATGAAATATATTTAAAATTAAATTGGTCGAATAATATTTGTAAGTAAAATTTGAATACAAATTATGACATTAGAAAGTATGTAATTGAATATCATATTACTATATACTAGTTATATGAAATCATCTCA